ATTTCTTAAACCTCATCTCAAAAACATAAACAAGCCAGGCGCCAGTGGCTAACACCTGTAATCCTAGCTACTCAGGGGGCTGAGCTCTAAGGATCATGGTTCAAAGCCAACATAGGCAGGAAAGTCCATGAGACTCTTATCCCCAGTAAGCCACCAGAAAACTGGAAGTGGCATAGTGGCTAAAGTGGTAGTGCAAGCCTTGAGCTGAAGAGCTGAGGGACAGCGCCCAGGCCCAGAATTCAAGACCCATGACAGACAAAACAAAGAAAAACAAACATACACACACAAAACCCCATAAACTAGTAGTTGAGATGTGGCTCTAGTTGTAAAATGCCAGCTTGAGCTACAAAGCCCCAAAATAGTGCAAGGCCCTGAGTTCACAAACAAGCTAACGGAAAACATGGAAAGGCGGGTTACTGAGTGGAGCTCTCAGGCAGCAATGGGTTTGCCCTGTGGGATTTCTTCCCCCAAGCCCTGTCCCTCAAATCTGCCTAGTGGTGATAACGGTACCCCCACTTCTACCAAGTATGTTACCTTTTCCTTTCTATTCTAGCACCTTTTTCTGAGTAGTTGGCTGGAGTTAAGAGTTTCATGGCTTGGAAGTGGCGCTGTAGCTCAAGTGGTAGAGCGCTCGCCTTGAGTTGAACAGCTGAGGGACAACGCCCAGGCCCAGAGTTCAAGCCCCACGACCGACAAAAAAAAAAAGAGTTTCATGACCTGTCCTGCCTAAGCTGACTTTCAACTGTGATCCTCAGGTCTCAGCCTCCTGAGTAGCTGGGATTACAGACTCCATTTTTACTTCTTCCTCCAGGCTCCTCACCTGGCTCACCTGAGAACAGGAGTCAGGATGGGTGAGATGCCCCTGGCTGATAGCATTCTCCACGATGGTCTTACATGTGCCTTTCACCACTATCATATGGGCATTACAGGTAAGGCAGATATAGTTGCAAGTACACTAGCTTTAGGAAGTTTGCAAGAAGTACATCATGTTAGCGAGTCTTGCTGTTCCAAGCTCTAGCAGCCATATCACTTGATTCTTCCATGGCCAGGAAACTGAGTCATGAAATGGTGTCCAAAGGGTAAGTACATGGTGTTCAGGCAGTTGGAGGAGGTTGGCTGGTAGCCTGTGTTTGTTCTGGGCCTCATGCTGGCAAGCGGTGTTGACTGTAGAAGTTATTGATAAAGGGTGGATAGGCTGTATTAGTCAAGGAGACAGGCTGCACCTCTCAAATGCACCTCACTTACTCCATCCTCACATCCTCACATCCCCACCTAGTAGCCACCAGTCCTGGGTTCAGCCTCTAGCATCAGGGGCCAGAGATGGGAGTGGAAGGGAGAAGATAGGGTGGTGGGTGGATTCAGAAATATTAAAATGTGTTTAAGCTGTAGCTATGAATTTGTATGTATGTATGTATGTTCAAGTATTAGTGGTACACACCCACATAACCTTTTCCCTCAGTTAAGAAAGTGAATGTTAAAGCCCAAGGCACAAAAATACTAACAGTTAATGTGTACACGTTTACACAGAAAGGGAGTGAGAAGGAAGAAAACAGCGTCCTTAAAAGCACTGTGGCTGGGCTGGGAAGGTGGCTCAGTGGTAGAGCACTTGCCCTGCATGCCTGAGGCCCTGGGTTCGATTCCTCAGCAGCACATAAGCAAAAAGAAAAAAGCCGGAAGTGGTGCTGTGGCTCAAGTGATAGAGCACTAGCCTTGAGCTGAAAAGCTGAGGGATAGCGCCCAGGCCCAGAGTTAAGGCCCCATGACCAGACCCCCCCCAAAAAATAAAAAGAAAAAAAAAGAGCACTGTGGCTCTGAGGTGTGGTGCTGGGATGAGGCCCACTCTGCACACACTGCTCCTCCAGTTCATCTAAGCACTTGCTAATATGTGGTTTTTGGGTTGCTAAAACTTAGTTCATTGACATGTTGGGTTTTTGCTATTTCTCCCAAGTTGAAAATGTTGCCAAGCAATGGCAGGTGAGTAGAGAAGATCAGGACAAGGTTGCACTGCTGTCCCAGAACAGGACAGAGCATGCACAGAAAGCTGGCCATTTTGACAAAGAGATTGTACCAGTTCTCGTGTCTTCCAGAAAAGGTGAGTGTATAAATCAGAGTTGAAAGTTCAAACGTGTGTGCATATGTAGTGGGCACTCACAGGAGTCAGATGTGGAGATGCTTCTTGGATGGGTGTGTGCTGTGGGAAAGACTGTGCTGGATTTGTGTACCTGGTTACATGGGGAGTGCAGCCCAGAGGGCCACAGCCCTGTGCCTTCCCTGCAGGTGTCCTGAGCACCTGCAGCACTGGTCCTGGTTGTTGGGAGGGAGCAGCTGCCTGTTCCCCTTCAGCAGTGAATGGCCATCCTGTGTGGCTGTTTCTGTGCGCTTTCCCATTCACATCTCTAGAGGAAGGGCCTTCTGGGCTATTGTTTTAATCTAACACAGAATGCAACAGCCCAGATTCCCTACTGCAAACTGCTATCTTACTGGCAGCCTGACTGCTTTAAGACTGCTGCCCCCTGAGTTCCAACCAGCCAGGTGCAGGACACAAAGCACTGCTCCTTGTGCCCAGTGCTCCTAAACTTTCATCTGAAGGAAGAGGGATTTAGGAACGATTCCCCTAAAATGTTTGTGTGTACTTTCCTATTGGAATGAAAGTGGGTAGATACTAACAGACCTTTTTTTTTTTTAAACTAATGTGACTCCGCTTGTCTTTGAAGCCTGCTGACTGCTGGCTTTGTGGTGTTCTTGGTTTTATGCTTCCTAGGCATTACTGAAGTGAAAACAGACGAGTTTCCTCGCCATGGGAGCAACCTTGAAGCCCTGGCCAAGCTGAAGCCATACTTCCTTACAGACGGCACGGGGACCGTCACCGCAGCTAATGCTTCAGGTTTGCTTTCAGGTTTGGGCATTTGGGGAAGTGCCATCTTCTGCAAGGTCTACCAAGTGCATACCTTTCCCACACAGAATGATGAAAAAAATCTTACAGTTTCTCCATATTTACTGATTTACCTGAATTTTTCTTTTTATTCTTTAGGGTGGGGGTGCTTTGTAGCACAAACTAAGCTTGAGATCACAATCCTTCAGAGTCTTATATACTGGGGAATACAGTGTGTCCTACCATGCCTGGTGTTAATTGCCTGACCTTGCAACTAGAGATAAATGAAGAATTCCTGAGTTTAGTGTGAACATGGTAGCACTCACTTGTAATTTCAGATATAGGCCAACTGAGGCAGTTAGCAAGGCTGTATCTCAAAACTGAAAGGACTGGGGGCATTTTTCAAGTGGTAGATCTCTTGCCCAACATGCTTGGGTTCAGCTCTACCAATATTCCTTAAGAGTATCTTCTTGGGCTGGGAAGGTAGTTCAGTGGTAGAGCGCTTGCCTTGCATGCCCGAGGCCCTGGGTTGGATTCCTCAGCACCACATAAGAAAAAAGCCAGGGGTGGCGCTGTGGCTCAAGTGGTAGAGTGCTAGCTAGCCTTGAGCTGAAGAGCTGAGGGACAGCGCCCAGGCCCAGAGTTCAAGCCCCACAACTGGACCCCCCCCCAAAAAAAAGTATCTTCTTTCCATTTTCCTACCTAGCTCTCCCTTCCCTCTCTGCTCTGGGGGAAATAGGGTTCTTGGAAGTCTATGGTCAAAAGTATATGTAAGTATAATGTAAATTGCTGAAATTCGGCTTCACCAAGATGTCAATGTAACCCATGTCTAGTGGTGAATACAGGACCCACAGATAGGTAAGTTAAAAGAGCCTCCTAGAAATCAAGTATTTTACAGGAATGGGCGATGGTGCTGCAGCTGTGGTTCTTATGAAGAAGTCAGAAGCTGAAAATCGTGGTCTTAAACCTTTAGCACAGATTGTTTCCTGGTCACAAGCAGGTGTGGACCCTTCTATTATGGGAACCGGACCCATTCCAGCCATAAAGCAAGCTGTGAGTTTAACTTCCTACACCTGTCAATTGGTCTCTTGATAGAGCTAAGGCCAGACCCCTAATTCTGAACTAAGTCTTTTAAACCCACCTTTCTACTTCTGATCATCAGGATTGTTTTTTTTTTGGTCGGTCGTGGGGCTTGAACCCTGGGCCTGGGCACTGTCCCTGCACTCTTCAGCTCAAAGCGAGCACTCTACCTCTTGAGCCACAGCACCACTTCCAGTTTTCTAGTGGTTTTTATTAGAGATCAGAGTCTCATGGACTTTTCTGCCTAGCTGGCTTTGAACCATGATCCTCAGCCTCCTGAGTAGCTAGGATTATAGGTGTGAACCACTGGTGCCCAGCATCTGGATTGTTCTTGATTGCATCAGTAAAATGCTTCTAACCCTCAAGTGAGTTTCATTATACTTTTAGCGTTTTTTTTTTTTTTTTGGTTGTGGGGCTTGAACTCTGGGCTTGAGCACTGTTCCTCAGCTCTTCAGCTCAACACTAGCACTCTACCACAATGCCAATTCCGGCATTTTCTGCTTACGTGGTGCTGAGGAATTGAACCAGGGCCTCATGAATGTGAAGCACTGAGCCACCTTCCAGTCCCCCTTTAGTGATTTCCTACCATGAGGGGCAGTCAAAATTACTTTCCCTATACTGATGTTTGAAGCCACGGCATGGGCATCTGCAAGTGTTCCACCTGTGTCCCACATCTAGCCTGCATCAGTTTTAAGATTGTTTGGATACACCATATACCAGCTCAGCCCTGTGCTGCGATTATACATGGAACACCCCACATAGCTGCACAGAGGCACCTTTAAAGAGTGACATGAAAGTGGCACTTTTATGTTGTGAATCTTTTGTCAACAGGAATGGTTTAATTCCTGCCTTCATCACCCAGGGCTCTATCCATTCTTCTTTCCTGCAGGTCTTTAAGGCAGGCTGGTCTCTGGAGGATGTCGATGCATTTGAAATCAATGAAGCCTATGCAGCTCTGTCTGTTGCCATAAAGAAAGAACTTGGATTATGCCCAGAAAAGGTAATTGCCTGGCTTAGTCACTTGGTAATAGATAAAGAAATAAGAAGCCAGGTGCCAGTAGTTCACAGTGGTATTAGGTACTCAGGAGGCTGAGATCTGAGGATCACAGTTTAAACCCAGATCAAGCAGGAAAGTCCCTGACTCTTACTGTTAGAAAACCATAGTGGTTCAAGTGGTACAGCACTACCTTTGAGCTGAAGAGCACCCAGGCCCAGAGTTCAAGACCTACGACCAACATATAATAGAAATAATATAATAGAAATAACTAGTTAAGCTCCTACTATGATAGTTGAATTGCATTTCCCAGGGCAAAAATACTTTGACCCCATTAATTTATTTACAATGGGGCATTGTAAAATGAAGAACAGGGAAGATGATCAACAGTGTATGTGGGGCATGAATTATGTCAGCAGTGAAAGGGTGGTTTTCTGTTAAAGCAAACTTGGGAATTTAATCTTTGTTCATGAATCCAATGATTTGATCCTTTCCCTCCTCTTCAGGTCAACATTGAGGGAGGGGCTATAGCCTTGGGCCACCCCCTTGGAGCATCTGGCTGTAGGATCCTTGTAACCCTGCTACACACACTGGAGAGAATGGACAAGAGCCGTGGTGTTGCAGCCCTGTGTATTGGAGGTGGGATGGGAATAGCAATGTGTGTTCAGAGAGGGTGAACCGCTTAACAGTACTCACAACTGAACCTTGATTTTTTTTCAATGTAAATTGTAATATGTAAAATCTAAGGAACAAAATGAGGAAGGGAACCACTCACAAGAATCCAAGTTGACAGCTTGCTGTACTTTTAATATGTAAGGTGTAAGACACTGCCTCTAACACTGTTATAAATAAGGGGGAGTGAGATCAGTCATCCAGGGCTCCGGAGTGAACGGCATCCTGATAGCCTCCATGTTTATCGTCTTTGCTCTCCGGGTGTAATTTTATAAGGTCATCAATTCGAAGAATGGTAATTGCAGCTTCTGTGGCAAATTTCAAGCTCTTCACCTTAACAATGGTGGGTTCAAAAACCCCTGCTTGTTTGTTGTCTCGGGGCTTCCCATTGACCAAATCGAGACCTATCCTGTAATTGAGGAAAATGGGTTATAATAGCTGACAGAGATCTTGTGGATAATCTATTACTCCCATCCATGCCCTTCAAATCTTCATAAGGAGCAGTGCACCAGATGTTGCAGAAAAGGGGACATGGCAGTAAAGTTTCCTATTACTTAATGATGATGGTCATGGTTTGTGTCAGTACCTGGATGAGGCTCTCACACTGGCCACTGACACATTTGTCAGAATGTACTCCCACAAATTTGTGGGTGATTGTGAGAGCTCCCAATTAGATACTCTTGACCTTTTTGTAGTAGTGATTACCCAGAGAAGCGGAGTAGGAAAGGTATAACTCTCCTAATTATGTCATCATCCTTTGGATTAAGTTATGGATGATTAAATAAAAATAAAGGCTTGTAATAATGATTTAAATATTTGTGCTAAATCTATGTTTTGAAGTAATCTATTAAGAGCCAGGTGCTGATGGCTCATACCTTTGGATTATAAGACCTGAGGATGGTGGTTCACAACTAGCCTAGGTTGAAAAATCTGTGAGGGGCTGGGAAGGTGGCTCAGTGGTAGAGCGCTTGCCTTGCATGCTCAAGGCCCTGGGTTCGATTCCTCAGCACCACATAAGCAAAAGAAAAAAGCTGGAAGTGGTGCTGTGGCTCAAGTGGTAGAGCGCTAGCCTTGAGCTGAAGAGCTGAGGGACAGTGCCCAGGCACAGAGTTCAGGCCCCACGACCGGACCCAAAAAAAAAGAAAAAGAAAAAGAAAAATCTGTGAGACTTATGTCCAATTAAACATACACAAAAACCAGCAAGTGGAGCTGTTGTGGTTCAAGTGGTAGACCATTAACCTTGAACACAACATAAAGGAATAGGGGTGGGAATGTGGTTTAGCATTAGAGTGTTTGCCTTGCATGTGCCTGCATTCAACTCATCAGTACCACATAAACATTTGAAAAAGCCAAAATTGGCACCCCAAAACCCAAAAAACCTAGGGATAGCATGGAGACCCAGAGTCCAAGTAGAATGGCAAATATTTAAATGAATTGGTTTTCAGGGGAGAGTGATGGAACAGGAGATATTCAAGACACTGTAACCAGAAATTGGCATCAACTTGAAACCCCTTTGAACAGGTATAGACTAAAAAGAAATGGTCAAAGAACAAAGTTGCATGTATGATTAGTAGATGAAAATGAAAGACCTGGAAATCAAATACTTACCATTTTAGGTTTTTGCGTTCTGGGTTAACTTGAGCCTCATTATGAAATGCTCTTAACTTTGCAACCAGGTCTGTGGAGTCTTGAGCAGCGTTAACTGCCAGAGTATTAGGAATAACAAGGAGAGATCTTGCAAATTCAGCAATCGCAAGCTGTTCCCGAGACCCCTAAGAAACAGAAAAGGCACCTGAAGCCCACTGCAGCAGCTAAGGTCTCCAGGTAGTAGTAAAACAGGAAATGACCTGCCATACTCTTGAAAACAAACGTCTCTTACCATGCTGGTCGCATAGTTTTCAAGGTAAATGGAAAGGGCTGCTTCTACGGCCCCACCACCTGGGACCACGGACTTGGACTCCAAAACTCTCTTCACCACACACAGAGCATCATGTAGGGAGCGCTCCATCTCATCACACATGAAATCATTTGCCCCACGCAAGATAATTGATGCAGATGTACGAGCCTTTGTACTATTAAAACAAAACGGGAAATTCCTAGTTTTTCCACTGCATGTGCCTGGATTAAAGTCTGCCTGTGTATGACATTTGCCTATTCAGCAGTACAATGTCTAGACCATGCAAAAAGATGAAATGTATTTCACCTCAATTTACAATGGCCTATTTTACTTTATCCCACGCGTATAACTGCTCATATCACCAAGGGATTACAGCAGCAAAAAAATGGGAAATTTACTCTTACTCATTAAGTCTGCATAGTTTCAGAACGTAGAAAGTTGCTTACTTTTTGATTAAGATGAGTTCATCATCACAAATTCTCTCCTGTACCACCTCTTCTGCTTGTCCCAACATTGTGGCTTCAAAAGTTTCTTCGCCTTCCAAATTGGCAAGGGTTGACAAAATACTTGCTGTGAGAGAAAGATAAGAAAGTTTTTTCCTGATGGGTTTAGAATCTTTTCCTTCTTGGTTGGTTAGTTGGGACTCCACCTTGGTCTGGATGCTGTTTGTGACCTTTTTCACTCTAGGGTAGTGTTCTACCACTTTGAGGCACAGCACCACTTCAGGTTTCCTGGTGGTTAACTGAAGCTCACTTTCCTGCCAGGGGTGTCTCTGAATGCGATCCTCTATAATAATGCTATCTCAGCCTCCTGCATAGCTAGGAATAGAGGCTTCAGCCACCAACACCCAGCATGGTTTTAGAATCGTCAAGATTCAGCTTTTCTGATAAAGACATTAGAACAAATAAACATAAAATGGTATATGTCATATTTAGCAATGGCCAAATACATTTTCTTGATATTCCCCACAGGAATAAAACTAATGAAGTTTTCAGAAGTATATTCACCCTAGCCATCTTCTATGCTCTTAAAAAAAAATTCAACTCTGGATTGGGAATGTGGCTTAAAGGAAGAGTGCCTAGCATGCATGAAGCCTTATGTTAAATTCCTCAGTACCACATAAACTTTGCCCTGAGTGCAAGGCCCAGGACTTGAAAAAAAAAAAAGTGCAAATTATTTTGAAAAGCTGTATAGTCAGTATTTCAATGTAAAATGGTTTCCATATGGTCACATATTGGGTGTGTGTGTGTGTGCGGCATTTTATGAGAGCCAGTAGAAGACATACCCCCAGAAGCCTTAGCAATGCGTTTAAGGTCTCTCTTTAAAACTCTCCGGACTGCCATAGCACCAGCTTCCACAAAATACTTGAGACACATGTCATCAATCCCTCCAGTGGTGAGAACAACATTAGCGCCAGCCGCCAGGATCTTCTGAATCCTCTCCTTGGTGATATCTGACTCTCTAAAGAGAAAATATTTTCCTTTAGAAATCCAGATCATTGGTAATGTGTGACATCTTTTTAAAAAACAATTGTAAGCTAATGGCGTGTGCTGATGGCTCATGCCTGTAGAACTAGTTACTCAAAAGCCTGAGATCGTGGTTCAAAGCCAGCCCAGGCAGGAAAGTCCATGAGACTCTTGTCTCCAATTAATCAACAGAAAACGGGAAGTGGCACTGTGGTTCTAGTGGTAGAGCATTAGCCTTGAGCTGAAGAGCTGAGGGACAACACCCAGGCCCAGAGTTCAAGCCCCATCACTGACCAAAAAAAAAAAAAAAAGTTAAATTAACTGGGTTTTTCTCCCCATCTATAACCAGAATTTAAAACCACTCCAATTTATAGAAAAACTCAAAAAACTATGCTATGTCATGAAGCAGTGTAGTTCAGAACTCTACTGTTTTTAAGTCAAGAGGCTGGGGCAGAATGGAGTGATTTGTGCCAGTCCAGGTTACAAAGTTCACAGAGAGAGACAAGATTGTTAATGGATACATAGGCCAGGTCGTCATGAGAAACAACTTTCAATATGCTACAGCACAGGAGGGTACATAATCATAGTTGCTGACAATTAAGTACTTTGAAGTTCCTAACAAAGAAATCATAAATCTGAGATCATAGATATGCCAGACACTCTGATACATCAAGCATTGTATACAAATAGTGCTAACATCATATGTGCTCCACAGCATTTAGTTACCACATCAATTGAAATAAAAGTAACCCAAGTTATCTGAATGATGCAGGTCACATGGACTTAGGCAGACAAAATCTCCACAACTGTCTACTGCAATGTACAGGTTGAATCCTATCACTTGCAGCCTTAGTGTCAATCATACTAAGTTAACACTCAACTGTCAGGTTCTAACTGCTTCTTTGATAAAATAAGGATCCTAGATCTTATCTTTGATTTTGAAACTAAACGTACCACAAAAGACAGACATACACAGTATGACCTTCAATCACATTGAAACATCTAAACTTGACTTGATAAGATGTTAAAGTCTTCCAAAACACAATTTCTACTAATATGCCCCTTGTTTGGTTATCTCTAAGACTCATTCTTTTTAGTACACTCAATTTGGTGTGACACAAGAATAACTCACAAACAGCTCATTTCAAAGGCCAAAAATTTCCCACCATACCTCTGTCTAATTTGGTCCAATTTCTCAGGGTCTGTGATAACCACTTGTACACCAAGCTTCATTTTTGTTTTCTGCAGGCTGAAGTCAAGGCAAGCAATTTTTGCATTAACTATCCTCTTGGGCATGCCTGTAAATAAACATAATGTAAGGTAACTCAAATACAATTTAACTTGTAATTCATTAAACCTTAAGGCACTAAGGACATGCAACCTCCTATTTTCTGTGCTTATGTTAGAGAAGATATTACTGTACACAAACCACAACAAAGGCACTTTTATACTGTAGTAATTTAATTCAAGACCTTACCCTGGGATCCCACCACACAGTTGAGTGCATAGCCATTGACCAGCATGCTTTCTGTTTGACTTCTCCCGTGAGCTTTCAGAATATTAACAGAAGTGACTGGATAGCGTGGCTGGCCTCTTGAGTCTGTGTACTTAATAGCAAGCACGGCATCCACTACCATGTTAGAGAAGAAATCACCATTTCTTGTGAATAGTTAAGGATAAGGAGACTCTCAATGAAGGAAGGGCATACATTTAACACCCAAAGCAATTCTAGCCCTATTTGCTCCATAGTTCTGGGCTGGCCTTGAACTCTTCATCTTCCTACCTTTGTCTTTCAAGTACCAGCATGTCACTAAGCTTGTTACAAAGAATTGTTACCAAAACTGCTACATTATTATTTGCTACTGTTATATTCAGTTCCAATTACTCTTATGTCTCTATTATCTTTTCCTCCTTGGAATTCAGGGAAGGCAACAGGGAATTTAATAAGTGTTATGTATATTTCTATAACAGAATGGTTCACTGAGATGAGCATCCCAGGAAAAAATGGTAAGTCTTAATGGCAAAAAGGAGGAAAAAAAATAAACAGAAAAATAACCAAGGATACATTCCAATAATTTTGGAAGACATGGATGTCTTAGCAGCATTAATCAGGCAGTCTCTTCCAAGTTCATCTGTGTTAATAATTAGATTTTCACTGATATATCGCACAGCTTCCCTGAAGCATAGGAGAGAACAAGACTCATATTCACTGAACTTTTTGGTTTCATTGTATTTAACAAACACATTGTCAAAATGTCACAGGCATTTTGTTCATGTCATAGGCATCTACTGTTCAGCCATTTCATATAGAAGGAGGGCACTTCAGAACCCTCCCCCTTCAGATCATGGCAACTTTAATGTATCCCATAAGCATAGCCACTAAAGTCTATGTTTAGGAGAAAATGTGGTAGTCAAATGGGAAGATGCACTCATCCCAGTGCTTCGAAATTTTTTCAAACAAAATTATGTTAGTAATCTATACTGTAAGAGTATTTACAACCACTATATCAGCAAACTTTCTCTAAATGGAAATAATCTTACTTGCATGCCAGCCGATAGCCACTAATTACTGATGTGGGATGAATTTTCTGTTTGACTAGTTCATCTGCATTTTTCAGAAGTTCTGCTGCAATAATAACCTGTCGAGAAAACAATCATTGTTGTAAGTAAACAGAATGTTCAATATATGCAATGCATATATAAATGACGGTAAAATGGCCAACTATTAACTAACCACAATTGCCATAATGGGAATGAGTTACAGTTAGTGAAAAGTATTAGAAAACTAAAGTACTCCATGTAAATGGCCCAAAATAGAGAAAATAATGTGGCGAACAAACTAGTTCAGATGTTCCTGGAAAAGAAAACATATCCATTAGGTTTAGAGTTTAACACTCATGACTAGAACTATTTTATTAAATTAACAAATCCTGTATTTTCTTTTGGAAGAAATGATGTTATTTCTTAAGTCACATTACTTACACGAAGACTGCTCCCATATTTAGAAAAGATTCTTCCAGCTCAAGGCTAAAGCTTAATATAGAAGTAATTTTTCCTCAATTTCTTGTTTTGCCAGAACCAACACCTTTCTCAGCAAACAACAGTATATTGGTTGCTGGATAATCTATGAAGACTTTATGTATCAAATCATGTTCACTCACAGGCCAGTCTGATATATTTACTTCCATTCTGAATTTCCTGAAAGTATTTAAAATACTTGAGCTGTGGCTGAAATGGTAGAGACCTGCCTATAAGTATAAAGTCCTCATTAAGTCCCAGGGTCACCAAACAATGGGTAACAATCCCTCCTTTATATAATATAAAACAATTGTTCCCAGTTTCACACAACTATTATACTGAAGGGGGGAAGGAGTGGGGAGAGGGTCTCCAAACATGTGAAATTCCAATTTTTAAAATGAAGGGGCTATTTTTGTGTGTCTTATTCCTGGGGTTTGAACTGAGAATGGTCATTGTTCCTTAGATTTTGTGCTCAAGGCTAATGTTCTACTGCTGTGATCCTTACAGTTCAGCCTCGTAAGTATGTAGAATTACAAGCATGAACCACTAGCCATGGTTGAAGGGGCCATTTTTATCATCTCATATTCTTTTTTTTTTTGGGTCCGGTTGTGGGGCCTGAACTCTGGGCCCTGGGCGTTGTCCCTCAGCTCTTCAGCTCAAGGCTAGCGCTCTACCACTTGAGCCAAAGCACCACTCCCGGCTTTTTTTTTTGCTTATGTGGTGCTGGGGAATCGAACCCAGGGCCTCATGCATGCAAGGCAAATGCTCTACCACTGAGCCACCTTCCCAGCCCTCATATTCTCTTTCTAAATTGTACTAGGTAATTATAATCCGTTTTCAATTCTTGTTTATTAATCACTTCTGGAGAAACATCACCTTCTTAACTTTCTAGCTCATTTTTGACTCTCCTTAGGGCTGTTCTTTAGGCACCACCTACCACAGAAGTGGTCCCATCCCCAGCTTCTTTGTCCTGCAGATCAGCCAGCTCACAGAGAACTTTAGCTGCAGGGTGTTCCACCTCCAACAACTTCAGGATGGTTGCACCGTCGTTAGTAATGGTTACATCCTGAGAAAGCAAACGAAAAAGCGGTCAGCACAGATCCCCTGCAAATGCAGGCTATCCCCTGAATCAGCACACATCTATGAAGGTACCCGTTGGGCTTTATACAATTCCCAAAGAAGTGGCACTGTGCCACCAAGTGATAGAGTGCCATCCATGAGCTCTTTTACTCAGAGACAGTGTCCAGGCCCTGAGCTCAAGCCCTACAACCGACAAAAAACCAAATACACTTTCTAATATCCAGGTTTGGGAGAAAAGGTATATTCAAGGTCTTTCTTCCTTTAAAGCAACTAACAGTTACACGTACTTACTCCAATATCATCCACCAGCATTTTGTCCAAGCCAACCGGACCAAGGGAGCTTTTTACAATATTGGCAATGGAAGCTGCAGCCATAACTGTAACCAATTAAGATAAAATTAGAAAAATCTTACTGCCTAAAACCAAATCTAAAGGTTAAAGGACACCTGACAGCCTCTCAAATCCCTCAAGCCTATCAATATCTTTTCTGTTTCTCAAATTATTGGGGGCCAGCCAGTTTCAAGTGGAGTGTTTTCCATAATGGACTTTATAGAAATCAGGTCAGAAATGTCACGTTGTCACTTCACACTGAAAAAAGCGAGGGGAGGGGGAGAGGCAAGGCATCAGCCTGTCCTTCAGACCCAGCGAATGGTGCAAGCTTTATTTCCAACTCGTCCAAGCAAAAATAGCAAGGCCCAAAGGGTCATCGAGTCAGGCACGTGATTCCGAAGCGCAAGAATGAAGCTCCACTTCCGATCACAAATGACTCGCTAACTGCCGCTTTCGTCGGCGCCTCCTTCTTCCTCACGTCCAGGTAGTATCTCAGTTCGGCTCTAAGAACGTGTCAGGGCAGGTATCTGCCGAGCCGGGGGCCGTGTGGGGAGCGGCGGGGCGCGGGGCAGGTCCTGGCTCCGCGGGCCTTTGCCCGTCAGCAAACGGAGCCGAGCGCGGGGCCGCGCCGCCGCCAGAACAAAGGCGGGGCGCGCGCGCGCAGGGGCGCCGGAGCCCCGGGCTCGCGTCCCCGCACCCCGCCCGTCCGCGCACGGACGCCGCCCCGGCCGAGGGACCTTTCTGGAAGCCGAGGGACGGTGGAAAGGCGGCGGGCGGCCCAGCCGCGAGGGGCCCCGGAGGCCGGGATCGGCGTGCGCGCCGCCCGCGGGCCAGCCTCGCCTCTCCCGCCCTCACCGTTCTGGGAGCGGATCGCCTCCCCGGTGCTGCGGTCCCCGAACACAGATAAGGGCCCCTCCATCTTCACGGCGGGCCACGCGTGCGACTTCTACCGGTTATCTCGGCTCCTAGGCCGGGCGGCGGACACGAGCGCGGCGGCGACGGCGTGAGGAGGGCTCCAGCGGCGCCGCAGGGGCTTGTGGGCCGCACGCCCCGCCCGCTTCCTTCCTCCCACACTCAGCCGCGAGGCACTTCGGGAAGTGTGGGGGGGGGGAAAGAGATGAACTCGCCGGAAGTGAGGAACTTAGAAGGGGGCGGGCTCTTTTTTTGGGTCAAATTAGAGGCCGAATGAGAAGGGCGCGAAAGTAGTACCCGGGAGTCAGGCTCGGGGACTGCCGGAAGCAGGAAGTGTTCCTGTGGGTCCGCCCTCCCGGCAGGGTCGCGTTTGCTCCTTGCATATTCTAGTACCTTCTAGAAGAGGGAGGGCGGGGCCTGGGGTGTACTTGTGGTAGGAAAGGGAAGGTAGGCCCTCGGAGGTCCGGGTGGACGGACTTCCTGAGCAGGCAGCCGGAGGCCAACCGGCAGGCTGGGCTCTGGGGACGTCGGTTTCTGGGTGGGATGGAGGAAGGCTGCCCCGCGCCGGACGGAAACGTCTCGCCTTTTTCGAGAGGAAAAGTGTCCTGACAAGGTTATCAGTGCAACCGCGGTGCGGCTGTGAGATGCGCGTGTGCACACGGCAGGACCAGCTCACGCTGAGCTCCTAGCGGGCTCAGACCCCGGCGTCCTCGTGGAGGAGCCTGTGCGCAAAGCAGCGCCCCGAGCGAACCTCGTCCCGCCCTCTCCCGTTGCTACGACAGGATTGGTCGCCTCCAGACCGGCTTGCGCTCCGACGTCAGCGATGATTGGCGGAGCAGAGATGACCTCCCGGCCACTCAGAGGCCGGGTCTATTTGGTTCCGGGCCTTGAAGGTTCCTGTGGTCCGAGGGACCCTACGGCTTTTTTCCAGAGCCGGAATGGCCGCGGCCACCTAGCCGCCGGACGGCTCTGAACGAAGGAAGGCGAGGCTCGGGTGAGCGCCCCTCAGCGATGGCGCTGCAGCTGCGGCTCTGGAAATTGCCTTCGGCTTGCAGGAGCCTAGGTAATCCGCCCGGCCCCTCCCAGCCCGCCCCGGTCCTGCTCGGTACGCGCTGGTTGGCGAGTCCAGTTTTAACTTGGGGGTGCACGCGTCCCGTCGGAACGCGGAAGCGCCGCCAGCGTTGGGGTGACGGTAGAAAGTGAAGGTCGGGGGCTGAGGACCGGTCCCCTTCCCCCTCCTTCCAGGCCCGCCTGCGGGGTGGGGTCCGCCCGGCGCGCGCCGCTTCCTTGACGGGTCTGGCGGTTCGCCCTTCCCAGAGCGGGCCTGCGCCGCCCTCTCCAGCACCACGCCGGCCGTGAGCCCTGCCGAGCAGCCTTCGGAAAACGAAGCCGTCGCCCCCGAGTTCACCAACAGGAATCCCCGGAACCTGGAGCTCTTGGCAGTGGCCAGGAAGGAACGAGGTTGGAGGACCGTGTGGCCCTCGCGGGAGTTCTGGCACAGGTAATAGGTCTGCTGGCAGTGCCCGGCGCCCGGCGAACTTGTCATCAGCTCCTTCGGCCCAGGATACTCTGGGGAGGCCGAGCTTGCAGTAGCGGCTTAGGGAGGGGGTGCTTCTCCTGGACAATTAACAGGTGTCCTGGAAAGAACTTAGCTTAGGAACTGGGTACTTACTGCGGCTTCTCAGAGTAGGTGACATTGAGAATGGTAAAATCCCAGAGAAGTTATCTGTCACTAGAGCTTTAGAGCAGAGAAACTGCTGGAAGGGGAATGAACTTGATGTGTTTGGAAACTGACAGGCCTTTGTACCTGAACTTTGATGGATGTGAGGTTAATGATGCAGTATGAAGATAGAAGAAGAGGTAGGAGATAGGTTTTGAGCATTGTAAATTAAGATAAAATATGAGGTTGTCTTTTTAACTGCCTGGGGAAACTATGAGAAGATAATACATTTGTTATTCAAGGAGATCACTGTGATTTTTCCATACAATGTTTCCAACAGGTATCTTACTGTGTTTTCCTATGTCTGTATAAAGCACTTAACACCATACTCACCTTCCAGTTGGTAACTACCAGAGCTTGTTTTACTTTGTCCTTTTTGTGTGTGTGCATTAATTATACAAAGGGGTTTAACCATGGTATTTCAAACATACATGTATTATGTTACAATCAGATTAACCCCCTTGGTTGCTCACTCTCTTTCCTTACTCTCCTTTATTCATAAGCTTGTTTAACAATCATTGTATCCATATCTGCTTCAGGGAGAATACATTGTTGAGGTAAGGGAGCTAAATTGAAGACCAGTTAAAAGTATTGCTGGGAGAAGAGAGTACAATTGAGGAAGAATAATAGAGATAGAACAGGGAAAGTTTTTTTCTTGTGGTTAAGATAAAAGAGATAAACTTCTGCCCCATCTTCAAACCACAAACCTTAGCTCTCAGCTACTCTCTATAGCAAGGATTACAAACATGAGCCACCAGCACCAGTCTAACAGTGTAAATTTTATAAAGGTACATAAGACGCATGTATGTAAATGAAATCCCTTTGTATGATTAATTTATACTAATAAAAATTTTACTAATTTAATACATGTATATTGTGATAAGTTAGCATTGCTACTTTTTAAAATTAATAGTGAGGGCAGGGAAGGTGGCTCAGTGGTAGAGTGCTTGCCTTGCATGCTTGAGGCCCTGGTTCGATTCCTCAGCACCACATAAGCAGAAAACAAAAAACTGGAAGTGGCGCTGTGCCTCAAGTAGTAGAGTGCTAGCCTTGAATTGAAGAGCTGAGGGATAGCACTCAGGCCCAGAGTTCAGACCCCACGACCAAAACCCCCCCCAAAAAAAATAAAATAAAAATATTTGTAGGTTTTATTCATTTATGTATAAAGATGATTTTCTTTTCCTTTTTTTTTTGAGGATATTGTGTTTGAACTCAGGGCTTTTTTTTTGTTGTTTTTTTTTTTTTTGATCGGTCGTGGGTCTTGAACTCTGGGCCTGGGCCCTGTCCCCGTACTCTTCAGCTCAAGGCGACTGCTCTACCACTTCAGCCACAGTGCCACTTCTGGTTTTCTAGTGGTTTACTGGAAGATAAGTCTCAGGGAATTTCCTGCCCAGGCTGGCTTTGAATCTTGATCCTCAGATCTCAGCCTCCTGAGTAGCTAGGATTACAGGTGTGAGCCACCGGCACCCGGCTTGAACTCAGGGCTTTGAACACAATAGGCAAATCTATCACTAAAGCTGTATCTCTCACCCCAAGATGGTTGTTTATTGATGACTTTTTCTATACCTAGTTGCTCTAATTATGTTTTCTTCTAAAAGAATGTTATGAAGCAGATATAATAACTTTCTCCATTTTACAGGGGCAAGGAAATTGAAGCTGAAGGAGACAGGATTAATAAGTGACAGCTAAGATACATGACCTATATGACCTTCGTGGCAGGACATAAAATTTTCACCACTATGCTACAGTGTGTAGGTTTTTTATCTGCTGCTTGTTTTCCTTGGTGAGGATTTATTAGAAATAGTTTGTAAGGAGTATTTAAAGTTAGATGTGGACATATAGCCTGTACATTTACAAGGCATTATATTGGTGTAGAAGATTCAGTTACTAAAAGTCTTTCATAGTTTTATAGTGGAAGGTGGACTAGGGATCACTGTTATAGTGGTATAATATGTTTTTAGGTAGTTAATGTAGTAAACAGGGAAGAGTCAAAGAAAGGATGTAAGTGAGTTCACTTTGAAATAATCTGGATCCTAAGCCTTAAAATCTTATTGAATACTAAGCTTAGTACTTTCTTTCACTTAGTTTGGATCATTTAAACTGCAGATCCTTTTCCATCCCTGTCTGGCCTTCTTAACCATCTTATCAGAGAATTTTGACATATTCAAAATATATTTTGATTATAAAGCCAATAGGAAAAGGCCTCAGAGATACTGAGACCCTCCCTTTCATAGAGTTATTGGTCATTTTTCTGTGTCTCTCTCTCTCTCTCTCTCTCTCTCTCTCTCTCTCAGTTGTGAGGACTGAACTCTGGGACTATGTGCCGCCCCTCAGCTCTTCGGTTCAAAGTGAGTGCCCTACCACTTGAGCCACAGCACCACTTCCAGTTTTCTGGTGGTTAATTGAAGATAGCCTCACGGATTTTCCTACCCAGGCTGGCTTTGAACCACAATCCTCAGATCTCAGCCTCCTGAGTATCTAGGATTATAGGCATGAGCCACCGGTGCCCAGCTTGGTTGTTTTTCTTAATAAGAAATATATTACAGAAATTAGCCCTTTGAAGAATATATGTTGATTTTTTATTGCTTGTTTTTTGTTTTTTATAATTTTTTTTTTGAGATAGGATCTTGATATAGCATAGGCTATCCTTGAGATCTCTGTGTAATGCAGACTGACCTTGAGCTAGTGATTTTCCTGCCTTAGCTTCTCCTGGGCTGAGATTAATGTACCATCATGCTCAGGCTCAGTCTAGTGGGTGTTTTTTTCCTTTTCTTTTTAACCATGCAGAAATTTTGTCCATCTCTTTTATTAAAGCTATTTGACATTGTTGCTGTCATTTTTCTTTTATATAACAGTATTGAGGCTTGAACTCAGGGCCTGAGCATTTACTCTTCCTTAGCTTTTTTTTTTTTCCTCTCTCAAGGCTAGCACACCACCACTTGAGTGAGCCACACCTCCACTGCTGGCTTTTCTGGTAGTTAATTGGAAAACTGGAGAGCAGAATCTCATGGACTTTTCTGTCTGGGCTGGCTTTGAACTTTGATCCTCAGATCTTAGCCTCTTAAGTACTAAGTTTATAGGCATGAGCTACTGATGTCGATCTTCTAGTATTCTTATGATTTTCATTTTTACCTTTAAGATTTGCTGCATTTATTTTCCTTTTCACTGGAAAATAAAAGCATATTTTTATCCAGTCATAAAGTCATAATCAGCAGCTTCAACTTTTTATAAAGCAGCTAAGTAAATAAGCAAAGCTTTTCAGAAACGCCAAGTTTAAGATGGGCACTGGTGGCTCACGCCTGTAATCCTAGCTACTCAGGAGGCTGAGAGCTGAGGATCGAAGTTCAAAGCTACCCTGGGCAGGAAATGCTGTGAGACTCTTATCTCCAATAAACCACTCAGGAAACCAGAAGTGGCACTGTGGTTCAAGTGGTAGAGTGCTAGCCTTGAGCTGAAGAGCTGAGGGACAGTGCCCAGGCCCAGAGTTCAAGCCCCACCACCGACCAAAAAAAAAAAAGCCAAGTTTTTTATTTGATGCTTGAAGTTAAGTGTGAGTGGTTTTTTATTCTTGAGTATAGTTTCACAAAGGCTCTTAAAGAGGAAGCTTACCTTTTCCAAGTGAAATCTAGATTAAGTATGTTGAAGTAAATTAAGCATTGAATTCTTAAGAAGTAGATGTTGAGCTGAAGTCATTTAACTTTTGGTTGGGTGTTTTACAATTTTATTCTCTTTTTGTCCTATTTAGGTTACGAGTTATAAGGACTCAGCATCACGTAGAAGGGATTGTTGAGCATCAAAATGGCCAGGTTGTGGTTTCAGCATCCACCCGGGAGTGGGCTATTAAAAAGCACCTTTACAGCACCAAAAATGTGGTGGCTTGTGAGAGTATAGGACGAGTGCTGGCCCAGCGTTGCTTGGAGGCAGGCATTCATGGTCTACCAACCAACCCCATGGGAGGCAGCCTCAGATTCGGTATTTTTGCTTTTGTTGACTTTTACAAGATAACATAGGGGGCTGGGAAGGTGACTCAGTGATAGAGCGCTTGCCTTGTATGCCTGAGGCCCTGGGTTTGATTCCTCAGCACCACATAAGCAAAAAGAAAAAAGCCAGAAGTGGCGCTGTGGCTCAAGTGGTAGAGCGCTAGCCTTGAGCTGAAGAGCTGAGGGACAGCGCCCAAGCCCAGAGTTCAGGCCCATGACTGGACCCAAAAAAAATAAAAAAAGATATCATAGGACTAAGGCTGTAAGCTTAGTGGTAGAGCACATGCCCAACATGACAAGAGCCTTTGGGTACATTCCCCAGGAACACACAGACACACAAATATCAAAGGCATGATTTTGTTAACTCTTGATGTTGGATATTATAATTCCCAAGTACTTTCTATGTGAGAATTGTATAAGAGCAAATCAGTTTCTTTTTCTCTTAGAAAGCAACCTTTTTTGTTTTTCTTGTTGATATTGGGGTTTGAACTCAGAGCCTAAGCTTGCCTCCAGTAATTTTCAGCTTTCTTGAGTGCTGACTTAAGCTTTTTTTCTATTCCTGATCTTCAAAACCAGATGAAACGCCTACAGAATGCCATGACAGAAGGTGGTGTGGTACTGAAGGAGCCTCGGAGAATCTATGAGTAAAAAGCAGCATTATTTTGCATGTGTAAATGTAAGACCTATCAGCTACTGCAGCCATTCAAAGAAAGCATCTAGAAGAACAAGCAGCATGGAGTTGAGAGCAATAATGTAACAGAGGAAGATGATTTGTAGTTAGGGTTCCTTGTCCTCCTTATCTGTGTATGGTTCTAGAATCATTTTTAATCAAGGCTATTTTTTCTCCTTTTTTGACCCTATGAAGTGTCCATAGATACTTAAGCTGTCTCACAGTATCTAAGGGAGATGATCATCAATGACATGTTAACTATTTGAAGGCAAAGTTGTTTGTAAGTTACAAAATAAAAGTATACTATTAACTCTTATTTTCTGGTTCTGTGAGATTTCTTGTGAGCTTCCTGTGGCAAGATTATGCAAGTGTGGTTGTGAAAATTACTCATTACTGTGGGTAGCTTATCATGGCACGTGCTCTCAGTAAGTGGGAATTGTTTGATGCTCAGGGTATGGGCTATTATTTAGTTATATATTTGCCAGTTCTGGGGCTTGAACTTAGGCCTGGGCACTGCCCCTAAGCTGCTTTTGCTCAAGGCTAGCCACAGCACCACTTCAGGTTTCTTTTATGTGGTACTGAGGAATGGAACCCAGTGCTTCAGGAATGCTAAGCAAGCACTCTACTACTAAGCCACATTCCCAGTCCTTTGTTCTTTTTAAAGCAGGAGTCATTTAAGCATACAGTTAGAAAACAATCTTAGTCATGAAGGTAAAAGCAGTACATGCTACTCTGGAGGCTGAGATCTGAGGATTGCAGTTCAAAGCTGGCCCAGGTGGGGAAGTCTGAGACTTGTCTCCAGTTTACTATGTAAAAAAACGTTTAGCTGTGACTTAAAGTGATGGAGCACTAGCCTTGAGCAAGAGTTCAGAAACAGCCCAGGTCCTGAGTTTAAAAAAAAAAAAAAAAAAGTTCATACTATGCTCCCTTAGGCCTGATTTACTGTTTAGAAAGGTACATTTGGAAGATGAAAGGCAGGCAGTGGGGAGCTGCAACTGGATGTGGACACTGAGGGGCAGAGTGCTGGGTTGTGACTAGGTGAGAATTAGGAAAGGCAAGCCAACTGGAGCTTGGGAGTTGATTACATACACTGAAAGTATTGAGGGTTTCCAGCTACTTGATTTGTGTGAGGAAAAGAAGCCTGTACCCATTTAAAGTGGTTTTTAGAGCCCTGTGCCTCATTCTAGGCATTTAGCATCCGATGGCTGATGGCTTAGTAGCTCCCTTTCTCAGTAAAGTCTTGGTGGAGACAGTTTTGTTCATTCTTATTCTTTCTTCTCTCACCTTAAATATTGACTGAAGTACTTCACTTTGAAGACCAAGGATCTAGAAGACAGTACAAACAGAAGTTTAGAATTCAAGGATAGCATGTAAAGACAATCATGAACTAGTCACTGGACACATTAAAAACTGCGTCCCCCTAGGAGGAACTTCAGCAGGCCTAGGGCACGTTAGCTTGGCCTTGGGCACCGAGGTCACCTTCAATCCAGCAGGGCAGCTCTTGATCACCAACAGCTTTCACCTTCAGATTAAGAAGGTGGCCGCCACCTGCAACTCCTCCCTTGGGGTCAGGCTATAACCGGTGAGCCAGAAGATCCACGGAAGCACAGTTAAAGGTGACAAAGGGGTTTTATTAGTTGGTCTGCAACTACCTCCAAGAGGGCAAGTTTTCTTTTTCCTCCTTCCCGTAGCCTTTGGATCGCTGCAGGCCTTACTGACCTCCATGGGCCTCTCTGACTCTGCAAGCCTCTCCACGGGCCTCTCCCACTCTCCGCAGGCCTCTATGATCTCCGCAGGCCTTCCCACCTCTCCACCTGCCTCTCTGCTCGAGCATACCCCCGGCCTCTCTTCCGGCCCGGGCCTCCCCTCAGGCCAGCCTGGCATCCCCCAGCCTCTCTTCCGGCCCGGGCGTCCCCTCAGGCCAGCCTGGCATCCCCCCGGCCTCTCT